AAAGTACGTTGCCAAAGGATTGGCTCGTCCATGTTCTGCTGGAGCACAGCCTGTGGCTTCGTATTTGCTGACAAACCCTGTCACCTGTCTCCAGGGCTAGGGGTCAATCAAAATGTCCTTGGCTTTGCTTCTGCTTTTTGACCCTCAATCATTTTTCCAAAGCAGATGTATAGTATACAATGAATCAGGACTGTTGATTCTTCTCTGTCCAGGAATACACAAAAAAGGTACGCTTTGTTTTGGTCACGAAATAAAGACAGACTGTGTTCACTCATGTAGGAAGCTGGTCCTGCAGCAGATGCACTGTGGATGCACTGTGGAGCATTCCACGAATATGTTGCTTTGGTCCTTGAAATGATCAAAGCTCTATCTACACTACTTTCTGGATGACTGTAAATAGAACAAGGCTCATTCGTCACTTGAGTTTGTCACGTCGCCCACAGAATCGTTGAACTTGCGTCGCGGCATCGCAACAACAAAACCGGTTGATCTCAGTGTGGATGATCTAAGCCAACCTCAGCTTCTGGTCGACTTTTGCTCACTTTTCCTAGGAAATGAATGAATCCAGGAACCCTCCGCAGATTCCGACCGAAGTGAAAGCAACTTTGGGACCTGGATGCCAGCGATTTGACCTTCCCCCGGTTCTTGTACTGGGTGATTGTTTCAGAACCTTTACTTGTGAAGCTTGATCCCACCAACCAGTTGTAGCACTCTCAGGACGGCTACGTGGAACAACTGCTTGCACCCCTGCTCCTTTGCGCGGTGTCTGGAGCACATGCGGCCTCTGGTACAAAGGCACGGTTCGTTGGTTTTGTCCTGCTTGCCAGGTCATGGGCCAGAACACCAAACAGCTGTGTGAAAACAATACTTCTCCAACCCCTTGTCCTGAAATGGTGGGCAGGGGTTAACAACGGTTGTTTGCTTTAGCTGTTGACCACACACATCGTTCTCAAGGTTGTTTTCACTTGCAGTTGTGGCAGGCGTCACTTGTTTTTGGCTACGTACGTTTCCCACGTACGTTTCCCACGTGTTTATTTGACGCTCGTGTCATATCACTTGCTCCACTGTTGAATTTGTTTGTCGTCAATCTTTTTGTTGGCTCGATTGAACAATCCAGGCCCGTCAAATTTGTTTGGATCCGGACCATGTCGTCTTAGGCTTTGACGCGCTCTATTTTAGCTAAGGGTTAGGTCCTTGTTGGGTCTGTCTGAAAAGAACTTCATGAAAGTGGGCACATCATAAGACACACGTGACGTGTTTATGACATCTCGCTCGGTTCGGACTTCGGTCTCCTGTTCCTCCACAACTCGAGTGGTTTCGTAAAATTTATGACACACAGTGGTTACCTGGCAGTCCCAAGATGTCCTTTAGGTCAAGTTCCTGGAGTTCCATATGATCAACCTTCTGGGGATTGCCATCTCTGAAAACACGGTATACCGAACAGTGTCGCTGAATTCTTTGGAGCCGCGGGCTTCTCTGTGTTCTGTCGACCGGTGTGGGACACCGGTGTCGAACGGCAGGAGCGACTCTTGCCACACTGGCAGTAGCGAAGGAGCGACCACGAAATCATTCCCCTGGCACCCGAAGTAGCACCCGAAAGCTGCCAGGTCACCACCTGCCACCTTTTCTAAATCAAAAGCCACTTCGGAGACCTGTTGGAGGTGCGGACCCAGGAGAAGCAAAAGCGGCAACTAAGAGTTTAATTTATTGCGAAACACAAACTCTACTTCAACATTGATTTTGGGAGGAGTTCAATAGAAGCTTGGAAACTACTTCAAGTGCAATCACAGAACATGACACACCCCTATCTAACCTGCAGGAAATGAAATGTTCAATTCAAGCCTCGTTCCATTTACATCATGTTACATCAACAGCAACAAACCAAACAGAAAAGCACCGCCAGCACCGATTTGTTGCACGCTGGATCCTCGGATCCTCCCAACCGCCCTGTCTGGCATAGCAATCCGCCGGGATGAAATCGACTTTAGCTGCACCATGACGTAGTGGTGTACGACAAGGAAACAAAGACCTGTCCACCTCAGCAATCAACAACAGGTGCCATACCCTTAGGATTTCAACCACCATGGTTTTTATCGCCTGAATTCCGAACAACTATTGTTTTACACGATTTTACACTCCAAAACCAGGTCAACCTGTTTTTTAATGCTCAAACGGAAGGCCCGGCCTAGCAGGGAGTACCTGCTGGGTAAGCCAATCCGTTTCACAGCTGTCGAATTTGGTCACTCGACAGGAAGATCTGGCCGTCTCTTTGCAGCGCTGCAGCGAAGCGCTCCAGCCCTCGAAGAGCGTTTTGGAGGCGGCCGCTGGAGCACTCCAAGAGTTTCCTGCGAAGGCCGGTTGGGAAGAACAGTGAAGTGAAAAAGATCATTGTGAAAAGTTGATCTTCGGTCTGAGCTGAGTGTACACATGTCAAGCTGAGTGTACGCAATATGGTGTTGGGCTTTGGTTTTGACCGAGGCAAGTGACGAGGTTAAACTGAAGAGTCCACAATAGAATCAATAGAATGTCTTGGACACTCTCGTAGAGCCCCTGGATCCAGCACTTGATAATACCTACTTTACTGTTTCTATATTTATTTTTCTATATTTGATTTTATAAATTTGAAATTCTGAATAGTTTGATATGTTTGGGGGTATATACAGTAATGATGTGATTCATCAGATATACCAGCTGTGGGTTGACAAGTGTTTTGTATAGGAAGTGAAACGCAGAGCCGGTGGATGTTTCCATATTTTTCCCTGTTCAAGTTTAGGACCTGAGATTTTCGCACATCCTTCCGTGTCGAGCGGATGGCAGGGTTCATGACAGTGCGAGTTGTTAGTTTCTGTGGTTGGACCCTCCAAGACCGCCTGACCGCCTCCATCCAAGTGTCGAACACATCACCGAACACTCCGAGGGTGCGTGGATCCATCAGGAATTGGGAAGGTTGCAAAAAGATTGAAAAGAGATATGCCTGGTCATCACTGGGGTAAGGCCAAAAAGATCCAGAAAAGTACTTGTAAAGCAAGTAAAGCTCGTGAAAGCTCAGAGAAGAGAGATGTGTTCACTTCGTTTTTGTGTTGTTTGAAGGATTTGAAGGGAGCTTGAAGGGTTCCACCGCAGAAGCCAGCTCCACCTCGTTGCTCCAAAGTACTTGATCCAACAGATTCAGACGGATCAAATGCAGAGCAAAGGTACCTCACCTTAACCTTGCCGAACGAATCCTACCATCCTGTGCGTGCCTAGGGTTCAAAACGCTTCATGTTGAAGGCCAAACGTGCTGGTTTGGGGGGAGCAGTTGTGCCCGAAACTCGGCCTCCACCCTACTTGCGATGGCCTCCACCGAGCATAGCGTCCTTGCTACTGGGTGATGCACGTGAGTTCGGCGCCTCCTCGTGCCTTCCTCGGTTTCGCAGGAGAAGAGCTTCGCCAAGGCCGTGGGCCCCGGGGGCCGATGCCAGGAGCCCCGTTCGTAGCGTCCCTAGTAGTATGGCCAGGAGCCCCTAGTAGCTTCTTGCTACATATAGTCACCTGGGGGGTGCAAAAAAGGTCAAGAAACATCACCGTCACAGGCATCTTTGGGTTCAACATGTTCAACTGCTTGTTGCCGCGGTAGATCACCGTGCGGCCAAATGCCAGAAGTGTGCCCTTGACTTTCCTGGGAAGCCCAGCTGTTTGGAGGCCAATCTGTTTCTCCTGATCCAAAGGATCCAACGCCGTGCTTTTTCAACAGGTCCTGCTGAAGTGTGAGCAAGAGTTGCTACGAGCCTATGACGTCCAGCGCCCTTGTGACCTTTGGCTTCAGTGATGTGGTTTCGGATGTTTCGGATGTGGCTAGTAGTAATCCCTTAGTTACCAGTAGTAATGCCCTTGTTCCTAGTAGCTTCTTGCTCCTAGTAGTAAGGCCAGGAGCCCCTAGTAGCGTCCTTGCTCCTAGTAGCGATGCCCTTGTTCCTAGTAGCTTCTTGCCAGTAGTAATGCCCCTTGTTACCAGTAGCGGTGCCTTGTTACTAGTAGCAAGGTTTCGCGCCGGAAAGATTGAGAAGATATTGGCACCCCGACTGCCCGCAAGCCAGAATGCTTCACCCGGAGAGTGGAGAAAGTCGATGAGACGCAGTCGGCCACCAGTCGGCGCCCCCCTTGTTTCGGTTGGACTAAAGCTGCTTAATCACTTGCTTCAGCTGCACCTTCTTGCGCACTTTTCTCTGCTGATGCGTCAAACTCCTTTCGAGAGACTTGTTCGATCTTTTTCGTATGGGGTCATGCCAAACCCCAAGAGACTCTTGGAGCATTTTTTTGGGTCGAACTCAGCAAGTTAAACCAGCTGAGCAGCTTGGGATTGCAGGAATAGCAGTAGTTGACTTAGGGATCAGCACGGTCGTACGTCCATGATGACATATGATGACCATAGAGCTCGTCAATCGAGACAAAGATAGACTCTCTATCTCAAGGGGTTTTGACGATTAAAAGGCTTTTGATAGACTCTCATAGCACGAAATCAGTCTCCGCGGGGGTTTAATCTCTTCCTTCGATATCAGGGCGGGAGCCTTAGCACAGAGGATTTAAGTCACTGCAACCTCAAGTTGTGCACGGTGAATGGTTGGGCACCCTGGAAACTGACTGACGACTGACAACATATGAATGTTGCTTCTACAGATTCTGATACACGCGTGGATCGACGACTACCACAGGCTGCTCCTATGTGTGTTTCCTCTCCTGGTTCCCCAACACATGTTTTACAGTCCCGAAGTTGAGGGCCAGTCAGGGTGACCTTGGCGTGAAAACCAAGTCTTGGCGTTTCGACTGTACCCCTAAAAAACCTTTCGTCGCGTCGAAACGGACCTGGCTGGGAACTCGTTTGATGCATCGTTTTACGATTCTCAAAGGGGTGAACCTCCCCCAAGGCCCTCCGATCCCTTCCAGCTGATGGTTTCGACTCCACCGAGGAGCTTCCCTTCTCGCTGCCGCAATTTCTGGATCTTCACTCTGAATTGCATCACATGCTGCCGGTGGGCGAGAATTCGAAGGGCTTCGGATCCTCCTTGTGAACTTGGATTTGCTGAAGACGTTGTTCCTCACAGAAACTGTGGTTTGGCATGGGCCCAGAAAGTGTAGCGCCCGAAAACACGGTCAATTTGAAGGCCAGAACTGTGCAAGAGGTTTCAACTCCACCATGATCGACGTGCAATGTGAAACATGATCCACCTTCCCTACGGTGATTACCCAGAGGTCACAGGTCGGTAGTTGGTGGATTTGCTTTTTTGTGCCTCTCGTTGAGAGAGGGTTGGGGGTGAACAAGTCTTTTGAAGGGCGCGTGGGCAGCAGGTTTTATTTGACATGATCCACGAGAGAGAGAGAGAGTGAGTGAGTGAGTGAGTGTGTGTGTGTGTGTGACGAGCGGTTTTCCCTTGAAGCAGAGGTTGTTTTTGGATGTTTTTGGGAACATAGAGTGAACGTTTCATAGTACAGAGGTTTGCGCGCAAGCTATATAACAACTGATCCACAAGCTGCAAGTCATTCTATAGAGAAACATTCGAAGAGAAGGCGATCGTTGTCTCCATGGTGGTTTTGTTTGCAGAGTTTTTTTTCTTGGTACTTTCTTCTAAGCAACTGTGCACTACCCAGTGTTCATTTACCAGGATCCATGGCAGGTTTTAAACAAGTGGGATGTCAAAAGCATTTGCCTTGTGGATCAAACCTTTGCCAGTTGAGGCGTTGCCCGCAGAGTGAGGAGAACGTTTTGCATTGGTTCAAGGATGTGCTGAGTGCAACCATTTTGGCCGAAGGGGAGCAGGAAGAAGGAAGAAGTTTTGGCAAGTTGTTGAAGCTTGCATGCGGTATCGTCCAAAGGTCTCCTCCTTGTCTTTTCAGATGTTCGAGTCGAATTCAGTCTTCTCCCTGCAGAAATGCGACATCATGTCGTATCATGATGCTATTCTATTCATTGCATCCTCTCCAACGCACAAACATTTGAGAAAACCACACAACTGACTGGCTCAAAGAAAGACAGACCAGTTTACCCACAAGACTGAACAAGCCACTGATGGAGCTCCTCTTCCGCCTTTTGCTGTAAAGGAAAGTGGTGGGATCCAAATGTTTACACCTGACCGCGCTGGTGCAAGGATCAGCAATGGATTGATTAAAACAGTTACTATATATATATATATATCCAAAGATCACGGTTGACTTCCAGAACAACCCTGGACAAGTTCGTGGCGTCCGTGTTTGAGTGAACTACATGAAGTTGGCCAAAGTTTACTCAGAGACCTTCCAGAAGGTCCCAACAAATATGTGTCTTTCCCATTGTCTATATCGCCGCCTTAGGTTGGAAAACAACATGTCCTTCAAACATGTATTGGATCACTTTTCTCTCTCGTTGGGGACTACTTATGCTTTAAGCAATTCGTTTGCGTTGAGTCATCCAAGGAAAGCAGTGGGTCGAGGCGAAGAAGAGCTTTGCCAGCGCGGTGAGGTCACAACCTTTGACGAGCTGAAGCTGGGTTTCGGCTATGGAGAGTTTTTGGCCAAGAATGTGGCCCGATGCAAAGAGTCAGGGGGACCATTTTCGAACAAAGTCGTTTGATTTGTTCAGATGTTCTTGGGATTTCTTGGGTGGTTGGTCTTGAGAAATTTGTTTGCCCAATGTGCAAAGTGGTACAATATTTTTCTGCGAGCGGAATGACAGCACTAGCAAATCATTGCAGATTAAATTAAACGCTTTCTAGCTTTGTACAACAGTCTGCCTCTCTTTGTCTCTTCGTCCATCCTGTGCTGAAGATTCACCCAATTTGATGGTCGGAAGCCAGGATCGTCTTAAAGCAATGGTTCTTCTGGGGAGCATCGGTACTGCTGTATTTTTGGGATCCACTTTGCAGACATCCAGGCTGATAGTGGATTTGATGAAATGTGCAAACCGATATTTGGTATTCCATAGTTTACAGAACGTGTTCTCCCGTACATTCCATAGGCCAAAGGTAGGACTTGTTGATGGTTTTTCCTGTGTTCGACTTGTCGCCACTCACGTGACATGCCCAGGCAGAGGAGATTGGTTCGCTCCTGGATCGTTTCGACGACACCGACGCGTCTTCCCCGCTCACACGGGACTTGCGCACCTTTTGCGATGAGCTGAAGGCGTCTGGGGTTCGGCTCTCGGGTCCTCAAGACTAGTAGAGATGGCCTCCATGGGCTCCACCGCTTCTAGTAGCGATGCACCGCTCGTCGGTGTTGGTCCAAAGAAGCGGTTCGATGTTGAGCGTTACTCGTTTCCTTGGAGCGATGGGGGACGCCTGTGTGACGATGGTTTTTTGATGGAAGAACAGACGCCTCTGCATTAATACCTTTATTGAATTTGCTTTTGTGTTGGTGTATGTGGTTTGATGATCATTTAGGGATTTGACGCATGGTGATGTTGACTGTGTATGCAAGGGGATTTATGTTGGGCTTGCCGGCTTGCCTCGAACTTACGGCTTTTGTTGGCAATGTACGACAAATATCAGCATCTTTTTTTTGTGTGTGTGTGTTATCCATTGGTAGTATTTTGACACTTCAATTCGTGATGTAATGCGGGGCTGTGGGCGCCTTTTGGCAAACGTTTGTGTGCCTACCCACCTGGTGTTGGTAGATCAGGCCTACCCGCCTGCATCAGTGTTGGTAGATGTATTCCTGTTCTTACTCGACGATGCGCCTCTTACTCTTGCTCAGAAGTCGTGATTGGTTTCACTCTCTGGTGGCAGGGCTGAACAAAAGATGCTTGATTCCGGCATGGAAGGAAAGCTAGATCGGTGGGGCTGGATGGGTGGCAGACAAGGCGATCAGGTCCCAGAACAGGTGTAGAAGCCGGCCATCGTCGCAGTGGCCGAACACGTTCCCCTTTTTCAAGAATCCCTCGTACAAGCCGCTGAACGAGGGGTCCAGTGAAGACCTGGACAGGATTTGGTCTTCCTGAAGTGCTACATAGATATCTTGCGAATCTCCAAGCAGGTCCAAGAGTGATATAAATCTGTTTCAAATTCCAATGGCCCATTGCGGTCTGGGCCAAGCTTCAAGTCCCAACCCTTCCACTGGCCCAGTGCACAAGTGAGTGCTTGGCCCCTCTCCCTAGCCCTCTCCTTTCCTTCGCAGAGGCGTTGCAATGCAATGCCTCAGAGGCGTTGTGTGGGATCCGGGGTCATTTCGCTTCGCTGCTCTCTCCCGCACAGGCGCAGGTCGCCCCTCGACGGGAGTCGCAATTCGCGGACGGTCCCCGGTCTTCGGCCCGCTGTCTCCAGTGTGCGGCAAAGGCCAAAAAGGGGTGCTTTCACGGCTTAGGCTTCACCTTTTTTGAAACGATACTGAGATACTCGTTGTTTTGGTGGTTTGGTGGCAGCCATGGTGTAGACGGTCTCCGGTTTGATAGTCGACATTCCCAAATGCAAGAATCCACCCCCTTCTTTTGAGCAAAACTCCTAGAGAGGCATGAAATTGATTTGTTCGAGAGCGGTTTTGAACGGTCAGTTGCTTTGTGCAAATGATGTGCAGATGTGATTTGTTCGATTCATACCCAGTTGCTTTGTGTCCAATCCCCTGGTCCGGTGTCAGTCTATCTGTTTGCATGTCGAGTGCTCAGAGATCGACTCCCTGAAATGATCATAGAAGTGGACGGGATGGCCGGCATGGATGACCATGAAACCATATGAAACCCGAACAGGTATTGTTCCACTTCCATGTGCGTGGCTCGGAGTGTAGTGCTTGTTTTAACAAATTTACATCGAAAGCTGGAACCAGCTCCCAGGTTTGGTGATAATGAATGCATGTAGTCTATGCGGTAGCTGATCCCACTGGCGACAGATCGCAACCGTTGTCCAAGTGTTTGTCAGAGTGAGGTGTTTTTCGGTATTCTGTGGTATTCTTGTTGAGCAGCAACAAAACCACAAAACAGTAGCCAGTGATGTTTACCAATGTTCAACATTCCCCTTCATGAGTCCCAATGATAATAATGATACACCTCCTCACCCTTTTTGTTAAACGGATTCAAATCACTTGAATTCACCAGTGAATCCACCACTCCCAGGCCGGTCCCCTCTTGAGGCCTGGAACCGGGCATCTGGCCTCACCAACGCTGCAGCTTCACCGGTCCTGGTCGCCTGGGCACGTGCGGCCGTAAGCGCGCACACCGAACAACAGCCGGGCATGGCGAAGGGAGAGGCTTGGTGATCTGGTGGGCCCGGTAACGGGCCTGGTAGGCCTACATCGAGCTCTTCAGATTCTTAGGGTTTGGAGCAGTATGTTGGACGTTGCTTCACCAAGGTCCAGTTGTAGTAGGTATATAGATGCTGGCAGGTGTTTAAAGGAACAACCAAAAGATGACAAACCCAAACAACTTCAAGCGGGCTTGAATTAATTTGAAGTACATTCACCCCAAAGAAAAGGTCGTTCCTTTCCTTTCCAGCTCTGAACATACCGGATTCTTTCATTTCAACCATGGCCATTCTCCACCAAAGCCAATGAGCACGTCTGAGAAAAGGACTTGTTCCAAGAGGTTTTGTCCTTTTCTCAGATTGAAGGACTGAACAAGTCCTGACTGAACAGGCCTTGTGAACCTGAAAGGATCACCTAGTAGCCTAGAACCTCAAAACGTTGTCCGGTCCTAAACACGCCACTTCTGAAACGCCCAAACTCTCAATTCACCGCACGAAAAATGCTTTCGGCGAAACGGTCGCATGGGTGCTTCCTCGTGCGAAAACCACTGAACGGATCCTGGTCCACGTTCCGTTCGCCTCGTACGGACCATCCGACTTTTCCGTTGTGAAGAACGAAGAACTCATCACGTTGCTTCGGTCGTTCTTGAGGTCATGTGCTCGGTTGTGCCTAAGTCAGAGGTAGGCGCTGCGTTTTTCAACGTTTGTTTGAACTTTCTAAGAGTGCCAAGAAAACTGATGCAGTACTACCCCATCAGAAGGCCGGGCAAGACCCACAACGGTGGTTTGAGGTACCAACATAAGGGACAGATCAAGCAGATCCGCAGCCGTTTGCAATTGGCTTTGGACTTCTTCGTGGAATGTGGAAACCCCCATATCAGGCAGATCCGTGAACCATCCTCGGCTGCTACGAAGGTCCGGTTCAGTGAAGGACTTACTTCGATGGATCTTCCGATTCCCACCCCCACAGCACACAGCACTCACATGGTCTTCCCAAATCACAAGTGTTCTTACAACAAGTGATGACACGTGCGTGACCCACTTTCAACACGTCATCCGACTCAACGGTCGAGAATTCATCTTCATCTAAGGATAAGATACAAAAGACGGCTGATGCTGTGGAAGAGATCGCCTCCGCGCCATTCCTGATGGACTTGCAAGTGGTATTGGATTGGGAAGACCAATTCCAGCCCGTGCTTGGCGAGCTCTCCTCCTTTTTGCCGCCTGTTTCAAGACCGACTCTGACCGAGTTGGGCAGCGACTCCCAGTTAAGTGTACAGTGTACTTGCATTCTCAGTTTCGAGACCTCACTGTGACTCCACCCCTCAAACCTATGTACGAATTGCATGTAGCCTCTTGATTGTAGTTCAACTCCCCAGGCCTCAAGAGGTTTTTCAATCCATGTTTGGGGGATTTGATTCATCAAGAGTCTACAATACCAGGATACCAGTTTGACTTTCAGATACATTCAGGCTATTTGAGGTCAGAGACCGCTAGCACACACCTGCAGTATCAGGAATCTTCCACGGAATGATTCCAGAGACCGCCATGACGGTCGCACACTTCGAGGTCCTCCAGTGACTTTGCCACGCAGTGGAACCGAAGAGGTCGCCGTCGCGACGCAGACGACCCGGGACAGATCACCTTGCTGGGCTGGCGGCACTTCGTGCGACTGCCCTCAGGCGAAGCCTGGGAGAGGGGATGGATCAAAAGGATGGGTGTGATGAAGCCCGGGAGTTCGGGTCATGGTCCATCAAACGTGCAGAAGAAAGCCAAGAAGAGACCTGAACAGCTTGGAATCTACTAGGCGACCCTAGTTCACCATGAGAAGATCAAAGATCTGTATTCCCAGAATGAAGAAAACGGTTTCTTACAGAATAGTACATGGTGAAATGTCTCAAGAATCTATCACACAAGATACAAGACATCACAAGACTATATTTGTCAGTTTAGATGGGTTTAGTGCAGGTATGGGTAGGTAGCGTTTGCAGGTGCAGATTGTTTTGGGCGGGCTGCTTGCTGGGGAAAAGTCGTTGACCTTTCAGCTGTTCGACTGAGTCACAGACAAGAAAAAACATGTTGCTATCTCCACTCGCCATTTTCACCTTGCCCCCTTCGAGAAAATGGCATGCACGTTTGACTCAAACCTGTACCTCCATTACCCGGCCACGGTAAATAGCAGGGTCACTTGCATCGGCTGAGACCGGAAGTCGGCAACTTCGGAATGAGGTCGTTCACAAAACCCATTGCTTCAAGGATCTTCAAGGGCACTTTCCTTGATCCACGGGCAACAAGTCCATTTTCAGGAATCACCGCAGCCACACCAGTTTCGACCTCCCCAAAACCGCGCGGGTCTTCTTGGAACCGTCTTCAAAGCAACCGTTCCGCCTTCCCCGTGAGGCTCCGTGGAGGACTTCGCCAAAGCTCTGGACCGGAAAGACCCCGCCGCTGCCAGCGGAGCGGTGCCGAGTGGCCGAGGATGTTTGTGGAAACACGTCGGACATAGGTGAAGCCAATGGGCCCAGAGAACCCCGAATCCCATGGAGTGGACGGATCCGATTGCCGGCTCGCCCCTCAGTGAATAGCCATGAAGGGCCTGGGGTTGGAGCCCAGGGTCTTCCTGATTCCTGCAACATCCTGCAAAGTCTTTCGTGGACAGTATGATTCACGTTTGGTAGCAGATGAGTCCTCATGAGCTTCACAAGATGCGGCTGAACGAATTTGACCTCTTCAGTGAACCAGTCGGGCAAGTTTCGGCTTGCTGTAGAAATGTGGCGAAAGATCAAACCGTCCAATTTCCAGAGTATCAGGAGTACGTGCCAGGTACATGAGCCCCTGGTACATGGCGCCTGTTAGCCCGCCAGGTGCTTCACCGATACCTTGCAGAGGGGCGCAACTTCCGGCAGGACCAGTTCGTCTTCGCAGCCGAAGAAGCCTTAAGGCCACACGGGAGGGGCCCCGACCTTGCGCGATGGAAACAGGGTAAGAGTGAGTGGTTTGATTTGTTTTCTTCAGAGGAGGAGGATAGGAAGAGGGCAAGGAAGATAGGATAAGGAAGGAACAAATTAAGACAAAGCAGAAGATAGCAGAAGACGAGAGAAGAATAATGGAGAAGAGAAAACCACTTGCACGGTCGCGAAAAGCTTTGGCAGTTTTGCTTTCACCTTGGGTTCCTCCAGTGGCAAAGATTGAGACGGGGCCTCCTACATAGCGAGTTCTTGAGCAATCGATTTTGGGTGCCAAAGCAACCTGAAGCTCCCAATTCAATGAAGGTCTTTGGTTCCAACTTGTTGCCATTGTTCTTCAGGTCCCAGCTGAGTTTGCTTTTACAGCTGTTGCGGGCTTCACATCAGCCACGAAGTGCCAGGGGCTGGCGCCAAGACTGCCATCAGCGTGAGATTTTTGTGCTGCAAGCCATCACTGCGTTGCCCCTGCAGCCTCTCAGACACGAGAACGACGAACGTTTTGCTCCTTCCGTGGCAGGCGGATGGAAGTGCTTAGATGTCGCTTCCCTACCCGGAAGGGATTCTGGATGGGAAATTGAAGAATGCAGACAGTGCCCTAGAGTCCTAGAGACCCCGGAGGCCAAAGGAAAGGATGTGAAGCGTTGCAATTCTTTCCTTTGAGCCACAATGAACGCCCTGCCGCAGACTACAGATCCAGTTTTGTTTTAGTATTCGGGGGTACAAGAATAGGAGAATCAGCCACAACCAGGGTGTGTGAAGGGACATGAACAAACCTTTGGGCTTCCAGGTTCTTAAACTGTTCACTGCGAGTTTCACCAGGAAGTTCAATTGAACTTCTCCTAATAGGCAGGTTCACAGTTGGATTCTTGGGTTTCAAATCCGAGCACCTATACCAATTCAAGTCTATATCCAACCCACCGACAGGAGGAGAACAATGAGATTTTCTGAACTCAAAAAGGGACATCGGTTCTCAAAGTTATTTTGAACAACAACTGGGTAACTGGTACGTTATGCTGGGGACTCAGAGAGTCTTTTCAAATAGAACTTTGATCGAACCAAACCAAAAGAAGGGCATCGTTAAAAGACGTTAAGAGCACGCATCCCGGATTTTCTGGAACCTCCAGCTTCGCGCTTTGGGCGGCGGTTCTTGGCCGTCCGGCATCGTTCGGGGCTGGGTCATGGATTTGCCATGAGTCCCGTCAGCTGAAGTAGGTCAAAAACCAGCAGTGGGAGGCCTCAGGGTAAACCCGTCCACCTAATAATGAGGCTAGCTCTCACCAATTTGGTCTTTGGTGGTTGTCACATTCCTTAGCCCATAAGGTAGGGTTTGAAAGACGACACAGAGACAAGTGGATGTCCTGCAGTGCACCAGAGACTTCAATGCGGGGGGACTTGCGTGCGTCTTCCGTTTCGTTGTTTGAAGACATATCGGTTGACTCGTTTAAGGTATCTCATCTCCGGGTCCGATAAAAAGACATATAGATTGGCTCCGATCTGTGAAATGTGTTGGCTCCGATCCATCGAAACGGAAGTTGTTCTGATACTCTGAGATCAGCTATCAAATTGCTTCCGGGGGAGTGGAGAGCTGGAGCTGAACTGTAGGTTCCCAGCTCTGGGCCACCAAATTCAACGTCTAGACCGCTTCTTAAAGCAGAAGAGCATCGAAAAGCACTGCGAACATGGGGGAACCCATCCGGAAGAATTTCTGGCACCATTTTCGCTGGACTCGGGGTGACTCGGTGAGGTGGCGTGACGCCGTGGCACCCATCTTTGCAAAAGCCTACACGAAGTCATTTGGAGCACCAATCGCCCAGATTTGGACAGGGGGAAGGCAGTTGGGGAAGGCATGATCATTTGAAGTTCATACTGGTTGTTCTTCAATGTTATTCAATGTTCGCGCTGCATTCTCCCACCAAACTCTCTTCCACCATCATCGACCACCGACTCAATGTGTTTGGGTTCCGTTCGCGAACGTGGCTTTTCTCGGCCGCTTCCCATGTTCGGCCCCGTTGGTCGCGGGGTTGCAGGGTTTTCGCAAGGCTTGTGAGTGTGTTGTGCTTCGTGGCCTCGCACAAGCCACACAAGGAAAAGCAAGCCGTCTTAATGTGACTGTTCCAAGGAAAGATTCCGTTTTTTCCGCTACCATAGTATTGTCTCACGCTGGCCGAAGAAGAATCAAACATGAAGATTCTGCTGAGGGTTGATCGAAGAAAGGAAACCTTCTAACATTCTTCTAGTCTACCCAGCACTCCACAGTTGTGAAACCTTGGTTGTAACGTGAGGCCTGTCACACCAACCCTTTTTTCCACCAGCTCAGGCTGGGTTTGCCTAAGCGAGAAATGCTCCACGCGTCCCGGCGCAGAGCCGACTGGACAACGACTGTGAGGTGGGAGCAAGCGAAGCGAAGCGAAGGATGGGGGTGACGGCAGATGCTTCGTGAATCGCACAACGAATTTCAGGTCAAGCGGCACAGCCCATCGGAAGGGCAGCGAAGGCATGTGCATTCTGGAACGAACAAACAAAAACGTGTTCGATTCATGTGTGCTACTTTATTTTCCTTAAGTTTCCCTAAACATCTAGAACCAAATGATTAGTGCGAGCGCTTCTTCAAGGGGGCTCCTCTTGGCTCTGGCTGGATGGTTCGCGTGAAAGATTTTGCGCCAACGATCGGAGTCCGATCCTGAATTCGAGCCAAAATGGATTGGGGGAATCACTACCCTGCCGGACCCAGAAGTGGGGTGTCATTGGCAGTCACACCTCTTGTGTCATCACTGTTTGCCCTGTATAGGAAATATGCTCAGATATGATGTGAAGCGTAGTACATAATTCTGTAACAATACAGAAAAGAATAGAAAAGAAGCAATCCCTGCACCAAGATGTATTGTGGGTATCGTTTCGATCTATTCCCCGTGAGGGCTGGTTTTTGGGAAAGGTTCAATGTCGGAGTCGTCCCAGTTCAAGAAACATGGGGAAAGAAGATGGGTCGAAGCGATCGATGGGTTGGGAATCATAGTGATGGCTGTTTCCAATTTGTGAATCTTCCAACCTACTAGCGATCGCCTCCACCTAATAGCGATGGCCTCCAACCTACTAGCGATGGTCACCTATTCCATTAAGGTCCAAAGTCCTTGAGAAGTGTCCGTAACGGATTTTCCTGTTCGTAACGGATCGAAGGGCCTTGAAGGGTGTTCCTTCGCTGCCCGAAAACGGACCAATGCTTGTTGGCGACTTTGACTCTCCAGACCCATGTTCGTAACGAGGTCCTTGCAGAGTCGAGCAGAATACAAAGGGTCTAAAGTTTATAAAGAAAGGCAATGAATGGAAGGCTTAAAGGCTCTCTAAAGACAACCAAAATTGAACTCATTAGAAGAGGGGAAGGTAACTCAAATAAACCGAAAAGAAAAGCTGTCATTATAGCTTGTACACTGTACCCTGCTTTCGTTGTGTCTGCGGAGTCTTCTTCAGGTGGCTCGCCAAGAACACAGGAGTCACCGAGTGGGAGTTAAAGTGGGAGAGCTTCTACGGCGTTGATCTCTTGAGAATCTCAGCAGAAGGCGGTAAGTGCCATGAGTTTTGTTGGTGCGTAATGAAAGCATGAGATTTCTTCCCTCTCAAAACTCCGGAGACGTCTTTTGTGTAGCTGCTTTGCTAGGAACTAGATCCACTGATGATCCGAAGACAGTGCTTACTGGGCTGGAACCGGAGGCTGTGGTGTTTAATCCATTGATACGAAGAGTGGATGACATGTGCGACTCCAAATAGAGGCGAATCATGTTTGGCTCTCTTTTTTTTTGCTCTGGACCATTTTGGACCTCTCTTTCTTTCTGTGTTTCTTTGTGCCAACCTGTTTTGGCCACGATGCCTCTGAGGTGAGCCGGAGCAACGTGTTCCGCCCCTTCCTCGCCGCGATCACGGCCACCATGGGCGTCACGGCGCGGCCGCGGCGCCTTCACGCGGCGCCGCGCAGGCAGGCACCGATGGTCAGCCCGTTGGTCGGGTTTGCGACAGTTCATCCATATTGGTGCAAGATTGGTTGATTACTCCCTTTATCTCCCTTTCATATCCGTTCGTCCATTTTTCCGTTCATAAGTGTTCGTCTGCTTTCATCGTCAGCTCTGGACCGAAAATGCTGCAGCAAAATGGGAAACAAGAGGCATATGCTTTTGTTATCCAGCCGTCCGGCCATCGAGAACCTCCACCGTTCTGCTCAGTTGGAGATGAGCGATGTGGACAGCAGTGACTTGGACCTGGAAGTGTCGGCCATTGGCGAAGTGTACATTCAGTCTCCCACGACATGCTGCTGTACGCATGCGCACGACATTCTCGGACTGTAGCTCAACCAATCTCAAACACTTTACAGGACAGGACATGTGCAAAGCGCTAGAGAAGGCAAGAGAAACATTCATAAAAGTTGTAAAGCAACCAATGAAGCCAGTGTGCATTTCCCTTCTTCCAGGGGGTCGAACTGAGAGGTCCCCAAATTTATTGATATGCACCCGAAGTGTTCAAAGGCTATGAACGTTTTGGTGCGGCCCATACCTGGCCTGGCCGAAGTCACTTTCAAATTCTACCGGTCGTGCATTCGGGAACATTCCGGTGCCTGCGGGAATTCCCTGCTGTCGATGGCTTGGATTGGTTTTCACATGAAAAACCACGAAATTCCCGGAGTTCAGGGGGAGCTGTCGGTGAACCACCTTTCGTTTCTCGTGAAATTCCGTGTATCGATTGGTGAAGATCTGTTCCCTAATTCATTGGATTCAGCTACCAGCCAGCTGAATGGTGATTCTTTGCGAAGACCGCTCCTTAGTTCATGAAGTTCACACCTCCAAGTCTTGCAAGATGAGTTGGGTGGTCCATGGTGGTCCAGTGTGAAGTCCAGTGGCCGTGATGCTTCGAGCTCTTTCTTTCGGTGTTGCAGCTCGGGCGCTCCGAAGGTGACGGTGTGATCTCCGAAGGCACCGACGAAGACGAGGGTCCCAGACGCGACGACGGGTCGGAGAATGTGAAGCTTTGCCGGAGGATTGCCAGGACAGGAGACACCTGAGGATTCCGCCGGTTCGTTGTGGTTAGTTCGGTGGATTGTCGACCGTGGAAGGATTCGGTTTGGTTGGAGATGGTTGGAGTGAAAAGAGTTTTAGAAAGCCCAAAGGCACCAGTGCGTTGGTATAGAGTTTGCTTGCCAGCCCCGGGTTTACTTCTTGATGCTTGTAAGTTTGGGGTGCATCGAAAAAGAGGTTACTATTACTACTGATATAATCTGATATATTGACTATTGGCTATAGTGAGAAGCTCCAGACTTGCTCAATGTCACAACAGGCAGCATACTGGCTCATTGCCCTCAAAGTCCAAAACATCAACATCCATCAACCAAGAAATTCATCTCATATTCTCTGAGATTCTCCGCCTCAGAACTTCTGCCAGGAACAAGGGAGTGAAGTTCCAGGACGTGGATCCTTCCTCTCGCGAGTGGCTGCAAAGGCCCTTGCACTCGGCCCTCCGCTCGCTCCAGCCACGAGTCAGACCGAGCGGGCGGAACGGTCGCTCCATGGCGTGTGGGTCGCATGGCGGGTGACATGGATCCTTTTGGTTGATCCGGTGGACTGGTCCGGTGAACATGATGGTTGAACGACCCCATCCCCGTGAAAACGGGAAGCGATCACAGCGAAGGTCCAGATGTTTGATGATGCTTGAGGTTTGGGGTGGAGAATGAGCATCCGTTTGAGCGAGTGGTTTTCCACATGCTAAGAGGGTGTGGCAGTTGAAACACCACCCAATCCAGAGTTAAATTGATTGTAGTGCTCTTTCGCTGGTTTCTCTACTCACGCAGAGTATCCTTTGGGGGACCAAGGCAAAGGCAGGGACAGCCAGAGTAGGGAAATCGGGTGTCCCGAGACATGTGTATTATTGAAAACTCCTTCGAAGATCATGCCAGAAATTCCATGCAAAGTCTTCCATATCGACACTTTTCTGGGGACTCCATTGGCTGACCCGATTCAATGGGCCATGGATCAAGCTTTTGTGAGGTCACTCCTTAAGCTCCAACTCAACTTTATTCCACTTTATTCAAGAAATCTATCTTGTAAAACCAACTGGTCAAGAAATTGTGTTATAGCCTCATGATAGAGGAACATCCACGCCACTCACCTGGCTTGTTTCTTTGCACGGTCTTGTAAGCCAAGGCAGACGGTGCAAGGTGCTGTGAAACGTCTTGCAGATGATCTCTACAGCGGAGAGGCGGAGCCCGGCCGACCTGCAGAGCGATAGATCGGTGGAATCGAAGCGACGTCATGGTGTTTTCAGAGGCAGAGGAAGTCACAGTGGCCAAAAGCCAATCATGATGGAGATGAAGTCAGAAACCTATTTTGTTTAATGTGTCTTTCCTTCCCTTCTTGGAACTTTCCCAGACAGTTTCCGTACTTTGAAGTCTTCCATCCTCTGATTTGATGGTGATCACGGTCAGGCGATCCTGCATCACCTCGATCATCGAATTCGATCGGAACAGATGGCAGGATCCGCCCGTGTCGACGATCTTTTTGAAAAGGCCAATGTTTGCTGAAGAAAACGCTAGGTTTTTTCGGATCCGTTTGGGTTCAGACCTTTCACCAAAATCCCAGCGCTGGAGGTGCATTTCATGCTGGAGCTCCTGCAAAATGCAGACGACTGCGACTTCCCCAGCGATGCCCTGCCAAGCCTCACAGTGACCTTCGAGCGCCCCGACGGGAATGGGAACGGCACCGGCCAAAAACACACCGGATGGTCTCGCGCACAGGTGCCTGAGATACATTTATACTGTATACTGATGACTAAGGAGTTGGCGGAAGTATCTCAAAAATCATGAGTCGTATCTCATGTGGAAAAGTACATTTTGGCAATTATTTCATACATAACTCCTAGCTCATGAGCCTGAGGCAGTGAAAACATGATTTCAACATGAGCTTTGTAAAGTGTTTTCCTTTAGCATGCTTTGGAGCACTTTGGAGAGGTTTTTGTGGATGACAGCACATGAGGTAGGAGTTGTGAGGCCTATGATGGACTCGACATGGTTGGCGGTGGACAAACGCCAAGATTTTGAATGGTTTTGATGGAATGTCAACGGGATGTGCCATGTGCATGCCGGCAGTTGACATCTTGTGTCCGAAACATGTCCAGACCTTTGTGAGATGGAACTTGCATGCAGGGTTGCCCTGTGTGTTTCCTATCTCTTCAGTCTCTGTAGAGCATGTCCATCATCCCAGCACACATGAGTTGAGAGTTTCCCCAGGCAAGTGCTAACTCATCAGATCACCAAACTCCTAACTCATCTGCACAGAGTATAGGTACCTGAAGCTTGAAAGGGATAATTACATCTGGACAAAGATTTTTTCCTTTTAGTCAGTGTATACGTACTTTTGATGAATAAAGGCCCCCCATCAGTTGGAAGCACGCACTTGCGATTCACGCACGTACACTGACCCTTGCCATATTGTATGGCGGGTTCAGGTAGGTAGAACAAGTGACAAGACATTGGTGTAAGAATCTGAGAACAGAAATATGTACAAACCGAAGAAAGCTACAGTGAAACCAAATGCACGAAAGGGCAAGAAACGTGAGGCAATGGACCAAAAAACTGTGCTCGGAAAACACCTTTCACTTGAATCCTCAATTATCACATTAGGTGAGTGCACTCAATTACTTTCAGGATGCTGTACTTGTATTCTGTCGAATTTCTTTCTGCGAAACAGGGCATACCTCACATGACATGAGAAACGCTTCCTGTGACTCGAAAGTGACCTCTTTCCACCCTGGCCATGGAACCAGAACATCAGGCTTTGGCAATGCTGGCATCTCTATCTCTGTGTGGTAGGGTGGGTTATGCGGTATAGTTAGAATTATGTCTCGCATGGTCTCGCAGAATGTCACACGTTGCTGATTGGTTTGGCAAGCGAGGTCGGCGTAACACACCAAAGTCATGCGTGTTAGAGAACCCCAAACGTATCCAGCTACTGGTGCCTTGTTTTGCATGTGGGTATGAGCTTAGATCTTGAGAAAGTCTGAATGTGCCTAACAATCCATCGGACATTTTCGGACATATATAACTCTCACAGAGCTCCCCATTTGGATGCGCGCACTTGCGGTTCTGCGCCCACACCAACCCTTGCTCACTGGTGAAGCGGGTTTGGGTGGGATGTTGGTCATTGGTGAAACGGTGAGAGGATGTCACTTTGTACACTACACCAAACTACGAATGTGCATGAACAGGGACCTAAACGAAACAGCTTCCTCCACCGTACTCAAGACCAAGAATTATTGAATTTCACATGTGTTCTCGTAAAACCTCGTCGAATTGGTGTTTTATTAGCCAAGATTCTACATTACTGTTGTAAGCTGTAAGGAAGAAAGGAAAATGGGAAAACAGGAAGAAAACAAGGAAAAGGAAAGGTCTATACAGATTGTCCAGAGATCTAAAGAAATGAAGTGTTTGTTCATTCACTCACTGGTTTCGACATGTTTCTGCGAACAGGGGTCAGTATGCTCAATCATCTAAATGGGTTGGGAATTTGGCTTTACACCCGGGAAGATTAACATGGAACCTGAACATGGAGGTTTGGAAGTGTTTTTTCTTCTACAACCCAGTGGTTGTCAGGTTCCATGTTAATCTTCCAGGGCGTAACCACCAAAAAATGGAAGACATGTCTTTGTCTTTTACTTTGGGCCTCAAGACACATATTTTTGTTGACGTTTTTTTAATTCTTGCTTTGCGTCTTTGGACCTTGCTTTCTTGTTTCATATCATTATACATGTGTCAATATATGTCAGTATCAACCAATGGGTAATTTGTTCACATGTCTTCAGCGCATTCGTGCTTTGCAGTCGGCTTTATCGTCACTGTCACTGCCCCACATCCTCCATGTCACCCTCCTTCGTTCTGTTGGTTGTGGGTTGGAAAGGCTACTCCTGCCCCTGAAGGAACAGGACTGGAATCAAAGCTGCGATACAGACTTGACCAAAATCCATGCAATGCATGTGCTTCTCGTCGCTCGTTTAGTCTAGATTCGAGTTCCTTCCCCATACCTCACTCGCTTCCAGAGTGGAAAAGAAGGCAGCGCACCATCATCCGCGTGCGAGGTCCAACCCCGAGCAGTTTGCCAAATGGACCACCTTCGAACCATCCAAGCCTGCAAGTGCCTATTTGATCATCGAGCACAACGAGACCGGCTTTCGTCACGCGACCAGAGCGGGCGGACCGCAGAAGATTCGATCTGGCGTTCAGCGAGGTTAGTTGTTGAGCCTTTTGGTTGGGCAATTGGGAACCTTCTTCGGTTTGGTTAAGCAGAGAAACTCAACTGCGAGACTCTCTTGACTATACAATACATTTCACAAACCAACGAACCTACTCATATGATTCATCAACAATACGGCCAACATGTCCTGTCTTTTGTGTGCCTGATCATACCTTTATCCTCCAGTGATTTTGCACGCAGACTGAGAGAACCAACGTATTGTGACAATATTGTGTTTTCACAGCAAGCTTCCGAACAATCCAAAGCCTGAGCTGGCGAAAGCATGATTTATGCGCTTGCCCATGAATGCCCCTTTCTTCTATCCAGCATCTACAGGTTTGATTCTGCAACATTGCTAAAGGAGATCTTCGGATCTTTTCCAGACAGCTGTCACTGTAGTAGCCTTGGTGAAGTATTCTTTTTGGATGGAGACATTGGTCCAGAGAAGAGGGAGTACAGTCACGAATGGCTGCTAAAGGTTGCCACATACTGAGGTTTTTTCTCGCAGTGTTTTGTGCTTCCAGGGATCGTGTCTTCAGATGTCTCCGGTCAGGGCCACCCAGTACGTATACGACTTAGGGCTTAGTCCCAGCGAAAGGATGCCAATGTTTCGCGTGAAAAGCAGCCTGTCTTCAGCTGGGTGGTCGTTTCAGCTTCAAACGATCGGTATCGTTTTGGCACCCCCACCGAATCCCCGGTGTGGCTCCCAGGGTCAGACGAGGGTTTTTTGGGTGACACCCGCGTCTTTTTCTGTTTGTTTTCCGTTTGTCCTTTCTTTATTTAGTTACTGATATTTGCTGTATTTGGTTCTTTCTTTTGGACCTTGTCTTTGTTCCTTGCATGTTTTCCGTTTTTGTTTTCTTGTTTTCTTCCTCTTTTGGACTACAGCCAGGTGATTTCAATTTGAAGGCCCTTTGCGACATCGCCCAGTCCACCAAAGCGGGTGGAGCCTCGGCGCTCGGAAGCGGGTTCAGAGGTGCAACAGCTATGCCCCTAGTAGCTTCTTGTTCCGCGTCCTTGCTCCTATGTTTGAGTTTGTTCACGTCAATTTTTCTACTCAGCTCCTTCAACTTTCCCAGTTTCGATGTAGTTGAGCCAATCAACTCACAAACGATGTTGTTGGAAAGATGGCCACTGGTTTTGAGAAGAAATGTAGGCCTGTCATCAGGCTTCTCCTGGCGAAGACCACGCACTTCCTAAGGTTGAATTAGGTCTTTGGAAGATTGGGATCGTGCCAATGTATTTCGGTTTTCCTGCAAACGGTTTTCAAAAGTCAGGGCCATCAGGACTGGTAACGTCGCGGAGCTATGCAAGAGGTAGTGACGCAAGTTGATACCCCCGGCCATATGATTTCTGGAGTCCACTTGTACAGGTTGCTCCTGGTTGCTCCCATTGATGAGACAACTCTAGCACTCGAAACTGAAGCACTCAGACTCTTCGTGTTTGGCAGACGGGGTGTTTTGGAACGAGTCAGAAGCCTTGCTGTGTGGCCGCAAAACGCCAGTCGTCCGAAAGATATATTATGTCATGCGATGTCGTTTGGATAGTATGTATGTAACACTTAAGGAGAAAAAAACATGTCTACATTTGGACAGCCATTGACCGCAAATTGTTGGTGTCCACCGTTGTGCCCTTCAAGTTGTTTGAGCCCTCCAAAACTGAAGGATAACTGGAGAATCTCATTTCTCATACCCTGGCTTTTTCAAAGCAGGGCATGGGATGTCCATCCTGAGGTGCTCGGAAGTTCATCGGTGCCAAAGGCATCGGGTTTAAGAGCGTCTTCTGTGCCACCACGACGCCAGTGGTACATTCAGGGCTTTACCATTGCCACTTCGACTCGGAGGCCGGAAATTGTCTCACCTTCGCGCCTAGAGCTGCGCGGCGTGTGGATTTGGAAGAGAAATCTGATGTTTCACTGGAAATCCTCGAGGTTTTACATGGTCAAGCATGGTCAAGCGGTCAAGCTCGCTTGACTTCAAAAATTGATCTTGAGAATCTCTCAGATCTTGAGAAGACTGGGCTCTACTCCATCCCTTCGCTCACCCCCAAGGGGGTTACACGCTGTTCAGGATGTTTCTACCAATGAAATCTTTGGGCGGTGTTTTCCGATATTGTTGTTCAACGTTTACTTGGGATGATTGAACCCACTGACCTATACCGTATGTTTCATGTGAGTTGAAAGCACCAACCAGATCTGGCTGGTTGGATCTCATTGGGCAACACAGCAAGTCCTTCTTGGTTCAACTGCTAGGGAGACGGACAGCAGCGCTACGCGACCTAGGCACGGACGAGGTCATCCATTTGGAGAGGTCATCCACATGGTTCTTACCCTTCGGTTTTTGCCCAACCACTGGTCAACCCCTTCCATGTGTCCGGGAGATCTCTGTGAGGCCTTGGAAGGCTTGGGCTACTTGATTCCTTTTCCGTTGACTCGCCCCTCGGGCTTCAAGACGGGCACGCGGCTGGTGCTGCCGCTCTACGAGCAAAGCATGGTCGAGAAATGTCGTCGAGTGGTGGAGGCCAGAGCGGGTCAACGGCGGTCGGCCGAGCGGGTCAGCTGTAGCTCCAAACTGATTAGATGTTTAGATGCCATCATGCCATCTACTCGAAGATGGAAGAAGACCCAACAAAGATGAACCGGGAAAAGAAAAGCTGGTGTAGGAATGCTCACTGCCAGTTCTCGGAATCCCAACCAAACACACCCCTTGCATGAGATTTCCAGACATCCACCTGTTCTGTTCTAGTGTTGGTCTTTCAGACCCACATGACTCCTACTGTTTTGCGCCCAGAGTGCCCAGGTTACAGTCATCGCAGCGCCACGAGTGTCGAAGCCGCGAGGACTTGAAGCCAGAGCTGTTGCTCTTCTTGCGGAAGTTGGAGAAGATTACCATTGTGGTGCGGAGTCCTGGGATGTTCTAGGGAGTTACTTTTGAATTGTATGAGATCAGATGATATCAGATGTGTTATTGGAGAGAACAGGATGGACGACGATGGATATTTTGGGGTCAGAATTGAAGACTCTTCGGCAAAGTGACCTTAAAGATCCTTAAAGACTGGTTTTGGGGCACCTTTTTGCACTCTTGTTTGCACCATCGCGTCCATTTGGGAAGATGCCCAAGGGCCTAGAGGTGAATGGGCTTCTCTCCGAAAAGGATTGGACTTTTGGAGCGAATTTCGAGCGTCGTCTCATTGCGGTCTTGGTTCACTACCTATAATCAGTAGCTCAGTAGGTTGACCATGGTTCGTAGTCTATTCTGTTCATTTTTGGCGGTTCAGCCGGGTCAGCCATCTCTACTTTCCAGGTCTCAGGAGGCCATGGTGGTCGGCTGGTACAACCAGTCAGTCTTGTTCTCCTTCTCTCCGGTGAGTGGATCTGCTGGAAAGCTCCACCGACCAAGACAGATCGGTTTTTTACCAGATTACCCTGCATCCAACAAACATGGCAGTGGACCATCCCCTGTTTGTAGAGGAACATGAGGAAAATGCTACTGAAAATGGTCAGGGGTCAAGCCATGCACGTTACCATGATTGTTTTCACGCAGGGTAGATCCCAAGACCTTCCACTTTCCCGGGCGTCCAGATGTCATCCTGGTCCTTCTCTTTTGTTCCTTCATTGGATTGGTCGAGTTCTTTCTTTCATCTAGAGAAGAGATATCAGGTATATTCAGGTATCACCGGTATCACCTTCACATCAAAGCCCAAAGTTTGGTGGGTGAAATATTGTGAAATCGTTGTGATTAGATCCAACAAAGGGCCCATTTGTCTCTTCACTGTGACACCCAAGTCAGTCAGTAAGGGTGCTCAGGGTCTTCTTGTCATTAAGTTTGGATCAGACCTTTCTCTTCGGTGTTCCAGTTCTCGACTGTGGGCACAACATGTCCTGAGGATCATGTCTTGAATGTCAAGAAGACGATCCAGAAGTTCATCGATGAGCCTGGTCAAATCGATATCGGCCACTCAAGACACCCCACAGTAACCCTACCCAGTCAGAGGATAACCTTTAACATCCTTTAACCTTGGGAATTAGTGTCCCCACTAAACAGGAGCAGGTGGAAAGTATTGGTTCACCTTTGTTTTTTCCAGAGATCCCAGAGATCCGGGAGTCGGTCACCTCGGACCAAGTCGGGAACGAGCATGGGGTCGTCTTGAACCTCGCTTGACTGGAGTCGTTTTGAGCCCTGGACCCGCGACGATTCACAAGCGCCCACACAACAGCTCGAAAGCAAAAAGCACGGAGACGACTTATAGTTATATAATGTTATATATATATATATGTGTGTGTGTTGCTTTGCAAAGGCCTTCGCACACTTTGTGGTTGATCCATGTTGAGCCCGCTTTGATGGACAGGTCCGTATGTCAATAAAAAGGGTTTGGTTGTTGGTCTTGTGCTTACTAGGCGAGACCGTGCCTGCAACATGTAAACCGCGAGGGGTATGGATGCTTTTTCCCTTCTCCGCGTTGAGGTTGACGTGGGCCTTCCAATGTCCGCTTCTAAAGACGCCCCAGCCGTTGGCCATGGGCCGTGCGGTTTGGCTGAGGAAGAAGGCCGGGAAGTACGGCTGGACACATCCACTGTGTCGACGGCACCAGATAATCTCAAAGAGGACGGAGATCAGGGCTGGGGCGCATGATGGTTCGTGCTTGGCAAGGAAGAAAGATGAACAAAGGTGAAGGAAGTGCGGTTCTTTTCTGACTTTCTGACATGACGTAGCTTCTACTCGCTTTGGAATATGAGTGGCTATCTCTATATAGAAGCTGAGCTCCCCAAGTGTGTCAGGTGACGGCTTTCCCAGTTCTTCCACGGGACGGCCAAAGATGGCCTAGCTCTTCAGTCTGAGAGAAGATCAAAACCAAACACGAGGTGCATATAGGGGCATGACGCCCAGAAAACATGTGTTAGATTGTTTAAGCCGGTATTCAATTGAGATACTGTAGGTGCTTTCGGCTGGTTTCTGGTCCGCCTTGACACGCCTTGCCCCAGGATGCTTCGAAGGTTTCTTGGTATGTGCCTCAGCTGAAGTGATAGCCAGGCGGAGTGCACAAATTTCAGGCAATAGTGGGTGAAATCCTAGGAGATGCTCTTTGCCACGTCTCCCCGAAGAATCATCAAAAGCCCCGGTTGCACCAGCCGTTTGCACCTTTTTGTCTTTGAAAACGGCACATCGTAGCGATCCGCCGAAATCCGGGGTCGTTTGATGGATGGTCAGACTAGGACCTGTTGAAAACGTATCGAAGATGGCACGCAAAGATGTCACATGTGAAAGCACGCATTCAGATGCTAGTTCGAAACTTACGGAGCCGCAATGAGCCGCATAAGTACACAAATCTAGCCAAAAGTATCAAAAAGTCTTAATGCTGATTCACTAGAGGATACCCAATTGACTGCAAGTGCGTGTAGATACAAACAGGTCAGCTTCATCCAATTGCTCATAAATGTGCAGAGGGATGACCAAGAAGTATCGAGCGCCTGTCTCATTTCGCTGCTTTTTGGAGTGAAAGTATGATGAAGAATCAATTATAAAATGGGCCGATTCCGACTCCTTTCGAGGTGCATCGCCGTCCAGTAGCGCTTCCACGAGCTATGGACGGGCAGCGGGACACCGATCTCCAGATCGCATTCCCAAGGCCAGGTCCCCTGTGATCGGAAGCGGGAGCGAAGGTGTGCATGTGGGTGTGTGTGTGTGTGTGTGTTTTGGAAGAAGACTTGGTGCGACAAAGACCAACCCTGATATGGGGATGGGTCGTTCAACCTGGACCTGGTCCATCGTGTAGCTTGACCTTCCAGGTAGGTCAACCAATGGGTCAAAATGGGGATTTGAATTCGGTACCGATACCTCCACCACCTAATTAGGGCCCAGAGCATTACTTCGTGCAGCGCAAATATTCGGTTTCACGTAGATAGGATCTTCTGTGGCATTGTATAGTGTGCATGTTTTGGTAGCTATGTTCCCAAACTCCCTTTTAGCACCCGCCATACAGCGAAGGGCAGAGGGAAGCGCAGAACCGGAACGCAAGTCACGTCGGTAGGTCAACCAAGGTATTTGGGTGTTCCCCAAGGCAAGCAAGGGAAGAAGAAAGGTGGGTCCAAAGAAACCAAAGAAAAAAGAACATGGATGAGATGGGTCGAGCCAACGGCAGCCAGGCTTTGGACGCCAGGTCAGTTCTCATGCTCCAACAAAAAGCGTCCTGTTTGGCGTGAACTAGGAGCCCCTAGTAGCATCCTTGTTACTACTAGTAAGGCACTTGTGACTAGTAGCGATGCACTTGTTACTAGTAGCTTCTTGTTACTAGTAGTAAGGCACTTGTTACTAGGGTGGACCGGAAACTCGAAAAAAAGGGGCCGTCGGCCATGTGCCAACGACTGCAAAGGAACCGTGAATGTTCGACTGTGGAGTCTGGACCGCTCTGAGTTGCTGTTGGAACACCGTGCCTTATAGGTCCGCACAATCTCATGGCAGCTCCCGAGTGAAAGGAACCCACCATAAAACGTAAACTGAAATGAACAACATAAGGCTGTTTTGCATTGTGGTCAGAGTTTTGTCCAAAGCGGGTGGGGCATGACCTGAGCAACCAAGCCGGTTTGAGTTTGCTGCTTTGCTCGTCATGTTTCTGGTCGAAAGAGCAGCAATCGATTCATCGTAGGAGCACCGAGAGCTTTGAGAAGGAACAGCAGTTGGCCTTTGCTTGGCTACCCTTGAGATCCTATGGGCCACCTGGTGGAGATTTGATGCGATGCGAAACCTCTGGAGAAGTGGGTTGTTTTTGATTATTCCCTCTTGAATTGAAGTGGGGACTGGCGACCATGGGTTCTTCTGGGGAGATCAGAGGACGAAGTGTTGTGACGAACTGCCCAGGGTGTGAACTTGATATCTCTTGGTATGGCACTGTTTCACTTATTGAACTGTGAAAGCAAACGGGCCATGCACAGGAAGCCCAATGAAACGTCTTTGTTTCAAGGCTTCTGGATGGATAACACTTAACTTTTGTTGAATGGATTTGATCTGGTTGGATGAGTGTTCTTCGAAAGCTACTGTCGATGGGCGAAATCCTGCACCACCTCACCACTTTACCCTGGAAGGGTCGCATAGCAACCCCCGCGCCCCCTCATTCAATGTTGGCGCGACCCCTCTGAGGAGGTGGTGCAGGATTTTGGACCTTCAACATGTTTTAATTTTCTCACTGTGATGGCCCCAATGTTAACGAGGGAGAACGAGGGCAGCAAGAAAACTGTGCGCAAAGTGGTGCAGGATTTTGTCCATCAACAGTATGTGCAACTCTTTTTGAGGCTTGGAGGCCATTGCTATTAGGTGCTTCCCGAAAATGCCGGTGGTGCCGCAGGTTCCGGGAGTCGATCCCACCGCAGGTTCCGCTTCATCGTCCAGGCAGATTGGGCGGTGCCCAGCTCCAGGGAGTCGATTTTGGCTGAGCCTCGGCGACGCATCGGGTGCGGAAGGGACGGCTGGACTGGACCTTGGTTTGAGGCCACGTTGGTGTTGAAATGAGGGAAACCTTTGCTTACCCTGGGCTATACAGAAGCAACTCCACAAAGTTCAAGTCGGTTTTCACCTTCTATACACTGTCCATGTTTAGAGGGTGGAGGAGTAGTTTCTGGATACACTTCACTGACCAGTTTGTTGCGCTCTTAAGCTTTTGCGTGTCTTTTTCATGTACATAGTATTATAACTATAGAGACAACCAAAAAGCAGATGTCTTTTTTTTGGCAGGATGCGTGTTTGCGCATTTGAGGAGCACCCTTTGAACCAGAGCCTGCGAGCTGCGCTGCCAGAGACGTTTTGACGCTCAGCGAGGATTTGTTGAGGGTCATCGGACTCCGAAACTGAGCAAGATCCACAATGGATTAGATTGATTTACCGATTTACCAGCATGGATTTACACTGTACATCCTGTGCAGCTTGAAGATCCTAAAAGAGATTTGAGGTATCTAACCACCAGGGCAGATGTTAGGGAGAGAGTATGGCTTATTGGAACCTTCTGTCGTCACCTAAATGGCAAGTTTCCATCATTTTGTTTGCCACGGTCAAGCAGAATCGGGCTGCCCATAAACATGGGGATTCCTTTTGGAGTCCTACAAGTCCTATTTGGGCCTTGTATGTTCGAATATCCGTTAGGTCGGGAAGAAAACAAAAGGCCCCCCTTCCCCGGTAACACCTCTCAAAATGGCCAGTCAGAAGTCTTCCTGTTTCGGCATGTTTCCGCTGGGTCTGGCCAACCTCCCCAAACACCTAATGGGCCTCACTCCACCAGGAGCTCCAACCGAAGCCGAACCGCTTTGCTGCCCCGAACCATCAACCGCCGTTGAGAGGCGAGCTGATCGAGCAGCTGGCCGAGCGGGCGCTGGCGATCGACGACGCCGCGGCGCGGGAGACCACCGAGCCGAGCCGTTTGAGACCAGCCGATCGGTTTTGGGGTCACCCTCTCGAGGCTCGAGAGCAGGCGGAAGCTTGGAGAGGTGTCCAAAATCCAAAAACTACACAAAATGACTAATTGACGAAGATATTCTTCCAGAAAAATAGATGTTTAAAGTTCAATAATGTTTAATTTTATACAATGTTTAAAGCCACACAGGGTCCACTCCTCACAGTGTGGATGAATGCCCCGTCTTGATTGAATTCAATTTATTCGAGGGTGTCATTTCCGAGGGAGTGTTCATGAAGTTTCCATGAACTTTACCTGCTTTCATCCGAGTCAAACACTCTCATCGATATTCGGCGCAAGACAACACACTAGGTTAATCCATGTTTGAACACTTCCCTCCTGTATTTTAATCGAAGATCAGCAAGTTGGTGCAGCTTACACGCCAAGGAGCTTTTGAAGCTGCGATAGACCAGCCGGGGTGGTGGGCTGGAGCAAGAGTGGCGAATGGCTACGGATATTTGTAGCAACTTCCGCCCGAAAGGGTGCTCGAAGGGGGAATCCTTTTGATTGAAAAAGAAGAGCAGCTTGGTCAAAAGGTCCAAAGAAAACCGCAAGAATGACAAAAATAGAATGAGATCGAACAAAAGACGACAGGTGGCGATGTATTTAGCTGTAGCTCCTCACCCTGCTTCATCGCAGGAGAAGGAGTTTCAGCGCCTCTACAGTCTCATCCCGCTAGAGGGCCAAGCGGCTGAGTTCTTCGTGGACACTCCCAAGCAGATCCTTTCAGGTGGGGGCGCTTGCATGTGTTTGCCATTGCTATAGGAATGGAGGCCATCGCTATCTGATGCTATCAGATTGGGGGCCATCGCTATTTGGTGGGATGATGCGGATGGGAACAACATGATGGTGTCCTTTCAGTGATCAAATGCCAGCAAAGTCTGTTGGTTAAGTCGGGTACTGGTATCGAGATAGATTGACGAACAGAATCTGTTGATTGCAGGACTGGAGGCGAAGAAGTTCGTGCTGGTCCGCCAAGGTGGCAAAGATCTTTGTGTGACGCCGAAGGACAGAAACGGGCCCGAGAAAGCACTGCAGGGCACTCGTAAAAGGATTGATATAGATACTAAGATATACTAAGGCATTTATAGTTATATACATATATAAGTGTATGCAGTTAGACTCCTGGGATGAACTCCACTGGCAATCCAATAAAGCTATAGACCATTATAGACCCACTGGCCCTTGGAGGTGCTATATATATAATGTCCGGTCATTGGACTGCCTTTTGGTTGTTTAGTCCTGGTAGATACCTTTCGCACGAGACAGCGGGGAGTCGGATGTCTAGGTTGTGTTTTCCCACTGATGCTGAGCTTAGCGTAAAAGAGAACAAATTCTAAGTAATTTCTAATTTAATTCTAATTGTTTCTACTAGCTTCTTGTTACTACTAGTAAGGCACTTGTTACTAGTAGCGATGCACTTGTTCCTAGTAGCTTAGTTGCTTAGCTTGTGGTGTCGATTCATGGGTCTTTGGCCATTGCCAATGCTACGACATTGGTGGACATGGCTGTAGACACCTCATTTGAGCCTCTGTCGGAACACCAAACTCAACGGGGTCAACGGGTATTGACGAGCTGTTGTTGTTGTTGTTGTTGTTCCAATATTGAACAATCTCAAAAACCCTCTCCCAAAGACCAGTAAATCACCTTCTTCTTCTTCTTCCACTTCTTATTACTGTATTACTATTATTATTCCACTTCTTCTTCTTCTTCTTCCACTTCTTCTTCTTCGTCTTCTTCTTCTTCTTCCACTTCTTCTTCTTCGTCTTCTTCTTCTTCTTCCACTTCTTCTTCTTCTTCTTCTTCCACTTCTTCTTCTTCGTCTTCTTCTTCCACTTCTTCTTCTTCTTCTTCTTCTTCTTCTTCTTCTTCTTCTTCCACTTCTTCTTCTTCGTCTTCTTCGTCTTCTTCTTCTTCTTCCACTTCTTCTTCTTCTTCTTCCACTTCTTCTTCTTCTTCCACTTCTTCTTCTTCTTCTTATTCTTCCACTTCTTCTTCTTCCACTTCTTCTTCTTCTTCTTCTTCTTCTTCGTATAGGCCTTTGCCAAAAAGAACATTGGCCAAGGGATTTGAAAACTAGCTTTGTAGAGAGGCCAGGCATGCCACCCTGATGCAAACCAGGAGGTGGTGCGGAAGGAGCTGTCTGGACAGGCCGAGGCCGATAGGGGCTGGCCGGTATGGGCTTGGTTGATGTTATGCTGCTCTGACACTGAGGAACATTCAAACCCAGAAGCTGTGGAAAAAGCTCTGTTACAAGAAGCTCTCCTCCCTGTTTTTGTGCACTTGTTGTGGGCAAAACACATTAAAGCACGAAATTTGAGCGGCACCTTTGCTTCTGGGTGCATTTTGCGCTAGACAAGATTGAACATGGAGTGATGAAAGCCCGTATCTGGAATCTCATATTATGGGATATTATGGGTAATTCAGCACACCAACCAGGTGGGGGCGAAAGCAGGAAGCACACCATATTGCAATTGTTTTATTATCCCCTGGTCTGCTGGATGGGGTTTCGCACAGAGTGACAGTAACAGACAACATCATGATTCGCACATATGAGTGTGTATTTTAATAAGGAGACAACGTGTTTTCGTAGCAGGAGAAGCTGACTTTGTGTCAGGGACCATAGGTGTCGAGGAATTGAATGACAGCGCACACAAGCCAGGCAAGTTCTGGTTCGCCCTTACGAAAGATGGGTTGCGCATGTGGGTGTTCATGCGCCATTACATGAACGCTAGCACAGTGCAGAAGAACCGGATGCTTGCTTCTTTGACCTGGCTGGAGCCATGTCCCACAGGATTGACGGTTGATGATGCATTTGGGCTTGGCTTCAATTGAACTTTCTGGACAAGGCTTTCAGGGGAGCACGGAGGAACTTGGATGAGAAGAAGATGCCATTTGTGTGCTGGCTGCATTTCCAACTCATCAATTGCAAGTGCCCAGATAACAGGCTCAACCTCACCAGCGCAAGATCGTCGGGGAAAGCGATGGCAGCGCTGCCAGTGCCATATCTACCATTTGACCGCAAGAATCTGAGTGTTTCGTGAGTTATTGATCACGTTTCGTTCGCCACCTAGGGACGATGCCTGAGCTCTCTCGAAAATGGGCCCGGCAGTCGGCTCAGGCAGGTGGCGAAGCCATCGAGGAATTTGTGTCATGGATGGAATTGGCTGTGAAAGGTAACTCTCGCAAGGTCCGTTTCATGACCTTATGGCACTCAACGACCAAAGAGTACAGCGCCAGATTCTCGAAGGTTGCTCTCCGCGCAGCCACGAATGCACGCACCAACAAGTTGGCATGCCTCAGAGATTCTTATATCCTGGGGCGGAGCAACAACCGGCCCCAGCCGTGCACCGTGCGAAAGGGATCTGGACTGCAAGGCTGACGTCCACCTATTTGGCCAATGTCGTCGTCCACAAAAGCAAGGACGTTCAGAAATGGTTGCCGCATTTGGATAAGATCCATGAGCGCGAGCTCAACGACATTATCGAGGCACCATATGCATCCTTCGAATGCAGGACCCTGCAACCTTTTGGTCTTCCAGGTCTGGGGCAAGAAGAACTCCAGCAAATGCAAAAGTTTGACATCACCATGTTCAGCTATAATGTCCTTTCGCTAGGCTCCAACAAGTGCTCCTGTACTGAGCCAGTACTGTCTGCCTATTTGAGTGAACAAGTGGCGGCACCATATCATCCTTTGTCTCCAGACACGCGCAAAGGAATCCCACATGATCGTCTCGCAGACGCATAATCGGCACAGATCTGGTTTCTGCGGCAAAGCTTCACTAATTACGGGCAAGGACCTGATCGTCAAAGAGCAGATTCAAGTGTTACATGAAGAGCCGGAAGTCCCTTGAATGCACGCTTGATCTTTTTGTCAGCGCATGCCCCACACACTGGGAAGCCCGTGCCGTGCGGGATCATGCCGAATTCTGGCGGAAGCTGCAAGAATTGGCGAGCAAATGAATACAGGCACCCTTTTCCAAATTTTGTGGGGGCCCTGACGCTAATGTGCACTTTGATCGGTCTGATAATCACATGGTAATCTTGCGGCTGACTTGTTTGTCCAGTTCTTGCGGTCGTGTATGCTGTTTTTGCCGGCGGCCTTTGAGGATATCCATATGGACCCTACTTAGCAAGATATGATTACATGTTGGTTCCCATGTCTTGGAAGCCAGCCTGGATCTGTTACATCCTACAAACGCTACAAACGCTTGACACTGGAGGAAAGGTCATTGGTCATTATGTCATGTACTGGTTGTCTCACAGGTGCGGCATTTCCCGGTGGCCAAGCAGCGACACGCTCGCAGCTGGATGAGATATTTTCAGCTTGATTGGAGCTGTGACATTGACTGGCGTACTAGTCGCTTGTGCAAGTGGATCTCAGTCCCAAGAAGCATGTTGGACCACGCAAGTCTTATCACCTGAGCGACTGCAAATCCAGCCACGGCAATGCAGCGCGTTGCATACTCTTTCCTGGAACTCCAGCTTTGTTGCTGCTGCTTCGCTTGTGGATGTATTTGAGTATCTGGCTTTGATGAGGCAGACTGCTGATCTCTCATGGGCACTCTCCAAAGGCGTCAAACATGATCGCAAAGTGGCATTGCAGGCTTTGCGTGAACAATCCAAGCACATGACACAACAGGACTTCTTTGAAGCACCCCGGGCCTCTGGAGCGCAGAGTAAAAGAAAGCACACCTGCCTCTTGCCGCTGCCTGTTGTGACCGATGTCTGGGGAGATCCACTTTCTACATTCGGAAGTGGTCAGGCGAAACTGTTCACGTAAGGGTATACTCTTGAAGGGGCCATAAGGCCATAAGGGGCCTTTCCATGATGTAGGTTGCCCAAAACCCTACAACGATGTAGTGAACCACCACAATCGATACAATAAGTTGATCATGATTGCCTCAAGTTCCACGACGCTGCACGCACGCAACCAAGCTAGTGGACTGGGCAGTCACAAACAAGCTGTTTGGGCCAGCGCACTACGCGCGAGGAAGTTATCATACTGACTGGCTACAGGCAATTTGCTTGCGACCGTGGCAGGCTGCACAAACCTCGCTTCGTTTCTCCAGCCTCCTGCGCAAGGTTTCCGCTTCGTTTCCGACAAAGATCCCAGTCGTTGATCGATAGCCAAATCGACAACGAAAGGATATATGACCGTATGTTGCGCAAAGGTGCGGTATAGTCACAACCAACGTTCTCACAAATTCCCATGGGCCATATGGAAGACAGGTTGGCAACATTCCCGCAGGGCAATGCAGTCTTGCTGGGGAGGGGCCGGTTCCTTTGGCAAGAGCTGCCCTTCGGCTGCTGCTCAGCTTTCGTATTGACATAACCTTTGCCCGCATGTCAAAATCTGCGATGGATTTTCAAGCCGTTCAGAACCCTGTGGAGTATATAGCGAACGACCAAAATCCATTGTCGATAACCGCATACAGAAGACCCGTAGTTTGCTTCAAGGTTTGGGTTTTGGCTCACATTGATAGTGATCCGTCTCTCCGAAGCCTACCAAACTCCTTTTGGTGAACGCTGATAACTTTGTTGAGCAGATGTTTGTTGAGCAACGGTGCACCCCACTACCACAGAATGTAAGCTCAATGAGAGTTGCGGACTGATGCCGTCATGGGTCCCGATTATCATCCAGTTGAAGCCACATTAACAGACTGCATGTTGTGCCACGGACGTGACCTGTCTTAGGCAAACGCAAATGAAAAAGAAAGGGATCCTCAATCAATGGGTAGACCGGTTTATTGTCCGAACCTTCCAGGCGGGTTGGAACGCCTGGGAGGTCGGTCTCCATATGGGTTTCATCCCGCTTCCCAAATCGATCAGACCCTTCACGTTCCAAGCGCTGGGCCGGGGCTTGGACCAGAGAGTCGACACGGAGGTGCTTTCGGAGCTCACAGAGGATGCCAAGGAGGTTCTCGACACCTGGCGAGTCGAAAACGGCGAGTCAAAGCGGATGGTAAAAATATTGGATTTGGAAAACTTGGAAAGTGGAAATACACTCCCTGAAGTAATCAGGAAGTGGATGGCACTACCTGTTTGGCATTCGGGTTTCATGGTCATCCAAGGGGTCATGCCATCCGCTTCCAGGATCATTTCAAGGAGTGCAACGAGAATCTCACAGAAGTCGATGTTTAGGTTATTTATACAGAAAACAACATGCATGCTACAAGTCATTCTTCGAGTTTGCAGCCATCGCCGTGCAGTCAAGGTTATTTTTGTATGAGTCGACACACTTGTGGTTCACCAATATGTTAGGGTGAGTCATAGTTCCATGAACTTTGATTGGCATAGGGGACTCTTTTGCCTCGAGCACCTGAAATGCGCCATTTTGCTGGTAAATACAGGAATGCTAGGATACTAGTAAATCAGGTTGTGGAAAAAATTTGTCCGCCTGAGGAAAACCTTCTCAACACGAGCAACATGTACTTCGAGAGGGGAATCCTCAGCAGTGCGGTGGACACTGGGTCTGCCATTGATTCAAGAACAGGGCAGGGCATGGCAGGGGTGGTGGGGGAATGCGTGCAGCGATACATAATGGTAAGGCAGCAAAAAAGTGAAGCACCTTCAAACATACATTGCCAACGCTGTCGATCTGTGATCCACAGGAATGCCAGTTAAAAATGTATAAAAATGTTTTATATATGAAAGTGTAGAACTACCACAAAGGTTGGGGAAGCCAAGGAGAGTTTTGCCCGTCAGACTCCCTTAAGTAATCCTCAAAATAGATGCTTGGATTTCATGGTCGTCCAAGGGATCAGGGACTAGGGTAAATTGCAACAGTAATCAGGGTATTTCCAGACAGTTATGTTGTATGGTGTTTTTCCAAGCTGTGACCGGTGTTTTTTGCGTCAGTGACCGCCACCCGGTGTTTTTTGCGACGGTTGCCCGGTGTTTTTTGCAACGGTTGACCGGTGTTTTCTGCGACAGCTTGTTTGACCGGTGTTTTCTGCGACAGCTTCTTTCCGTCGCCGTATGCAAGAGCTGATGCGAGCGCTGCTTTGGGGAGGGCACAG